GTTAGAAAAAAGTACAGGAAAAATACAGCATTCATGTGGTAAAACAGAACTCCAGCATCCTCTTAAGAGGATCTAATTTTTAGTTCCATCGAAATGATGGCGCTTTCGCGTCGGAGTTCGTTAGGCACTCCAGCATCCTCTTAACAATAATACATTTTTATGTTTATGCGGTCGGTAATATCATCGTTTTTCAGTTATCTTCGGTTCCTCGAGTTTCTTTATCAGGAAAACTTACCTAGTGTTGTCAATTTGTAATAGCACCGACAAGATAATATAAAACTAGGTCTATATAGTTGGCCCCCCCTCTAACGCAACTGCCAATCCTTGTGTAAATGTGCAGCCGCTAAATAGGCTTAATGCCCTATCCACACCGAAGGATGATCCTGCTTGTGGCTCATCCTATCACTTTCGCCTTCAGTGTGATTTTCAATTTGTCTACATTATTCGCTCGGATGAGCCACAAGCAGGATCATCCTTCGGTGTAGTTAGGGCATAATGGGCCTGGCGCCGTCGGTAAGTGGGTGTAACGCTGTAAATGAGTAGATAATAACACTGAATTAAAGACTGCCAGTCTTAATCGTATCTCACAAAATTTTTTTAGTTTTCTTTGAAACATTCCTCTAAACGTAAACCTATGGATTATTCTTTCGTACAGTACAGCGATTCAGCTACTGTTTCTTATTTCGGCCGCAATATATCCTAGAGGACGGTAGAGGACAACGTCTATTTTCGTGAGACACGATTTCCCGTAAGACTGGCAGTCGTTAGTAGTATCGGTGGTAATAGTATGTATCCATTGTTTGATCAATATATATTTTCGCAAGGATGGCTGAACTGCACAGTCATTTGGGCTTAGCAAACCCACGGACCTGAGCTCACACACTGCGATCACACACACACAAATACACTAGCGCACTTACATTTTACACATAATAATCAGTATCATATAATTACCACCCCTACCAGACCCAGATGGCCGTAAGAGGGGAGATCCTTTGGCGCCATTATACATCTACTCTACTCTGATCAATATATATTTTGACATAAAATATTACGCAAAGAAAATATCGATTGATTTCGGACACACAAAAGCAGACTACCGCTATAAAAAAAACCACACATAATAATATAATATCAATATAGTACCGATTGTAAACAATATTTATGTTACGATAAATACTTTATAAGATATTTCTGGTAGTTATTCGTATGCGGCATTTACTCTTAGATTATAACAATCGCGAATAATGCTAACAATAAGTGGTGTTTATATGCGATTCTAAAATCCGTCGCGCGTTCTAATTACGATTCGAGATCTCGAATATGGCAAGTTATTAATTTTCGATATATCGAGATCATAAGCTAATTTCAGTAATCTAGTTTACTGAATGATGTTGGATGCGAGAATTCCAAGATTTAGACACAAATATGTAAGAATTTATTATCAAAATAATACTATCATAGAGATAATATTGTATTTCTTGTTTCTGAGGTTTTAAAATTGGTTAGATTTGTATGAAGCGTGTATCTTAGCATTCCGTACTTTTTTTATGTTTTGTGTACTATTAATTTGACATGCTAACCTATCAACTATTAACCTATTAACCTATTAACTTTTTCTAATTATCGAATGTAAAATTTTTGTTGGCTTTTAGTAATTCAATTAAGATAGAAGTGCTTTCATCAGCGCTAGCTATAAAAATGTATTTAAAGAGCTCTATCAAAGGTTTAATGAACACGTTATCGTTTTTAACAAAAATTGCTGAAGTCACGGCCGTGATTTAGTTCTTTTCTATATCGAGCAAAATAGATAAGGTGGATATACATATGTAGTTTTTTGAAATTACTCTACTAAATTATTGTTTAATATTTTGAATTAACGTATATCATGACATAGTGTTTTTATAGCTGCTTAGTTTTTTGTGTTTGCATTTATGTCTCTAATTGCATTTAATACCTACTGTTTATGTAGTTTTAGATTTTAGAGATTACGTCGAAATAAAAGGAAGAGGCTAAGAGGAATATGATGATGAAAATCGATCTGAAATTGAATATTAACATAAGGGGAACGCCTCAAAAGTGAAAAACAATCGAATGCTTGCGCTTCATTTTATGACTTGTGATAAAATGGCATCCGCGTATTTGAAGGGCACTCGTAAGATGTACAGCTTTGAAGAGCGAAAGATCTTGATATCGCTGATAAAAAAGCATGAGATCGTTGAAGACCGGAGGCCGGACCCGATTTCTATATGCAAGCGGAAGTCGGCGTGGCTGCAAATCACAGAGGAATACAACTCGATAGTTGGGCCTCAGAGCGCGCGGTCCTGCCTACAGCTTAGACGTTGCTGGGAGAACATGAAGGCCTGCAAGCGCTATCGTGAGGAGAAAAAGTCTCGGTAAATTTGCCATTCTGAAATTTAAGACGTACGAAATATGATATATGGTGTTCAATAAAATTTGTATTTGTAAGCTAGCTTTCAAAGATATTTAATATCGGCGAGAAAATTGTAACAAAATTAATATTTTGTTTAGAAGAAATTTCCTTCGATTTGTCTAAAGAATCCAATGGCAGTATAACCTATAATGTTTGCACAGTAAAATATTTATTACTCATGTTGTCTGTAATATTCTATTAGCTTACAAAACGCAATGTTTATATAAAATTTTTATAAAGCAAAAGATGGAAGAGTAGTAAATGTTAAATTTTTAAAATTTTTTAGTGATGGCATGAAGGCTATTTGTCAATCGACGAAGGATGAGGAACGGACAAGGAATCAGTGCTGGGAAAGTGCTGTGACTTGTCAGAATACTTCAGAAGCGCCGACGTCCACTGGTACTGTTGGTTTGCCACCGAATGTAGTGTTTGAACCGGACGACTCAGAGCCGTTTACGTTGCAAAGTGTTTGCACTGCCAGACCTCAAAATCTAAGCTGCTCAAAGAAAAAGACGGACAGTTGCCGAGATACGAGTGGTAAATACGCTTCTTCTTGCAAATTTATTCAGCATAATACAAGAATTCTAAGTGCATAGGAGAAATTTATTTTATCGTGTTTAAAAGTAGTTAAAATACTTAATGATAATTAAATATCAACACCGAAAAACATAAGAAATAATATTGTTATAAATTGAATCATAATTAACCTGTCTCATACATTTATAAAAATTTATCTCAATTAGAATTTTTTATAAAAATTATATAATAGGCAGATAACATATTTTTAGTGCAAATAAAAAAATTCTGCCACTTTATTTTATAAAAATAATAAAATTTTGTTTATTTTGTAGTTGGCGGTGCGTTTAGGCAAATAATTAATAATAAAAACAAAGGCGATAGCATTGCGCCAGCTTACGGTCCGATGGGTGACTGTTATGAGACGCTCGTGAAAAGAAACATGAACTCACCTGTAGTGGATCGATCGACAGGTGATAGGCTTGAAAAACATCGCGCAAATTCGAGTGCTTCGTGTACTTTGATCTCGCCGTCCGTTGCGCAGGAATATAATTCTAAAACGAAAACCGCACAGCGAGAGGAAGAACTGCATGTTCTTGCGCTCTCAGAGGCGCAGATGAAGGTCGACATTGCGGCAATGTTGAAGGAAGAAACAAAGATCAAGCTAGAAGAGGCTCATTATCGCAAGGAAGAAGCCAGGCTCAGGATGCTGTTCTTTACGTACAAATTGGACAAAAGTAAGGAAGATTGAGAGAGAGAGAGTGAATTTTGTTGGACACAGCGTTTCATCTGGAGCACATTCTCGTAAGCACTATTTTTTCTTTATTTTTCTTATCACTGATTATATCGGTACGTTTCAAGAAGCAAGATAATTGCAAGAAATACACGTGTCTATAGAATACAGATTTATTTCTTATATATAAATGCAATTAGAATATAATCGTAATAAATACAAAATCTTCTGGTATAGTTTCACTTGTTAATTAGTAATAATTAATTTGTTGTATTATGCTATATCGTTTGCCTTGTAACGTGACCGAAGTTGCGGTGGATGTGACGAGAGTTGGCAAAATTTCGAGAGGAAGGAAAATGTTTCGATATTTGTGCTTCGGTTCGAGTCAATCGTTTGTGGATAAAATAAAGGGAATAAAACAAAAGATAACATAAATAAAATGAAAGAGTATACATAGAAAGAATTTATGCTATTTTTCTGAGTTTAAACAAAATATACTTGAAATAAAAAAAGTTTGATTCTACAACGTATGAATTAATGAATTGAATTATCATATTCGCATCAAATTAAATGTTTCACCACGAGTTCTCGTTGGATCTTAAAATATATCTTTCGATTATGTAAAACTTAAATTTCTATATTGTTACGAGCTATTTTGCAATTATTTAAAAAATGTTAATTGGGGAAAAACAACACATGTCTTTAAGAAATGTCTTTATAAAATAGTATTTTTGCCTCCTCAGCTATTAATAGTAACGTTATATATAAACGTGTATTCTAAATTAAAAAAGTTATCTCTCAACGAGATAATAAAAATAAATCTAGATTATTCGGAATTTATTTAAAGAACCGTTGATCAAAAGTTTGATAGAGGTGGAATTATTGGCAGTGGATTACATTGACTAGTGACAGAATAGATCGTAATGTATGTTGATTTGCCATAAATTCGTTAGTCGGTTCCATGCGTTCATTAAAGTAAATAAATATAAAGCGAGGATCGTTCGCCAAAGTGCAATTTTAAGATCGATTATCTCGCGCTATTTCTTCCTACATAAGGCGAAAGTTGTCGTTCAAGGCTGATTTCGCGGCATTCGAGCACGGGGTGACCTCGAAGAGCGAGGGATCGGTGTAGATCGGCTCGCTGGGATCGAAGCCGTTGCGCCGACCGGCGGATAATCCCACCGCACCTTCGAGAGCGTTCGACGACGAGGCGAGACTTTGGCTGATGGCGTTGCTCATCGATCTTGAGATTGAGCTGATTAAACATGATCATTTATTATGATTCTGATAAATAGAATATATTGTAAGGTACACCGTAAGTGAAAATTAAGAGAAATTCTCGAGTTTATATCTATTATCCTGTTGCCCTTTGACTTTGAGATAGCAGCGCTGGCAAGAGATAACCCATAGTGTTACAAGATACACGATGATACCATCAACTATCTCCAGCCAGCGCTACTTCAAAGTCGAGCAGCAAGATAATAGGTGCAAGTTTCGCTTTCCCCTAATTTCCACACTTACCTCGGTGTACCTTAATTACGGACAGAGTCAGGCTAAGGTATTTATTCAACGCATCTCTTGGCTGCTCAGAAATTAAAATCTATCTAAATTAAGATTTGCCTAAATTAAGACTGATCGTTGAATTACTTACGAAGCCTGAAATGGCTTCTGAAGACCGGTCCTCATGAAAGAAAAGTTGTTCATTCGGCCGCCGTAAGACTCATCAGAGTGACCGCTGCGGTTGCAATTTTTATTGAGTCTACGATTTTTCATGATCACGGAGTAAACGTGTTTCCTGAAAACAATAAATCACTCTGAATTTGCATAAACAAGCGAAAAAAATGCGATTCAGAGAACTTCCACATTTTCCACCAACAATATTATTGCTTATCGAATATTTGAAATATTATTTTTATCATTATTTATTTTCTTAAATGATGAAATATCAATTCGAAACAGGCGCACGGAGATGAAATGTGATTTTTACCTGTAAACGAGCATAGATAAGAGAACAACGGAAACTAAGAGAACGACGAGAATTCCAACCGCCGTCACCAATCCGTAGTATTCGTTCTGCGTTATGCAGATATTTTCCGGCATCTTAATTTGCCTCTCGGCGACAGCATCCTCTTCGATATCCATTCTCGAATCGCGAACCTGTTGAAATATAAATCGTATTTTTCGATCGGAGGAATATAATAATATTTGTGTAAACTGGAGACGCGAAATGTCTCCCACATTTCTCGAGTGTCGAAATGAAAGCTATTTATCTGGCACCTCTATCATTTCTCTGACACGCTCCACCTCTTCGTCCTCTTGATTTCTTCTTGATTCCATCAGCCCTTCGTCGTCCACGATGGTCGCGTTGTCAGCGTCATCGTCTGTCACGGTTATCGACGACATTACGTCCTCATCCGCCAGCGTGTCGTTATTTACGTCCCGCCGTCGTCTACCGTAAGACGGCTCGTTGTTCCTGCCGGTACCGCAAATCGCTGCTTGGCAGCCATCGCGGCACGTTCGCACGTTCGCTTCAAATACCAGGAAATTCGATTCGGGTATTTTGAAGGCGTTGAAACGGGCCTCGAGGCCGTCACGGCTGCTGTCGCGGAGGCGATCCAGTCCCGGAAACACGTAGTTGTCCACTGGACAGCTGCGGAAATTTCCCGTTTGAATCATGCGAAATTCATGTGCAAAATGTTTTCGAAAATGATTATTCGCAGAGATAATTTAATTTATTCAAATAATTTCTATTTAATTACATTACATTCTTACAGCGGCATTACATATTGTCCCAGACTAATCGTATCACTCATTAATAATAGATTCCTAAGGTCATTTAAAGACAACAATCTTTGTATCAAAACGTAGAGGCTGTAATAGTTTTTAAGCGAGAAGTGCTTAAAGTTAAGCAGATTGTCAAAAATTTACGCGCTCAGGCACGTTAACTTTTATATTTTTATCATATAAAAAATTTCAGAGAAGAAATCTCTGCTATTAACGGATGATACGATTAATCTGTGAAATACCTTGTATATTTTATATTATACGCAAATCTAATCTTTTAATGATATTAAAATGAAACAAATTGGATTGACTTATCAATGCACGATATCAGCAGCACCAGAATTGTTCAGTAACTTACAAAATACATTTAAGTTATAGCAGCGCTTAAAATAATTATTTGAGAAATAATTATTACGCATATTAAACTTTTATTTTTCATAAAAGAATTATATATTCATCAAAAAACTATAATTTAAAAAATAATAAATATGTTAATAAATCTAATAACCATAAATATTAAAAATTGCTAATCTTTTACTGTGGTTCAGTATATATCAAAGTTTTTATGTGCGTTACATTACACAATATTCTGCAAATATTTTGCAAATAACAGGTAACAAATGAATGATTAATTATTCTAAGGATGTTTCGCCGGCATCCGATGCTCTTTTTATGCTGTCTTTTTTCTCTCACAATCTTCTTGCAGTCTTTTAAAGCACTCATACGCGTTTGCAATGCAAATATAAAAATTGCACGATGTTTTAAGTGGCAGTCCCGACACGTCATTCGAACAAATTAAAACTTGAATATCATTGCATGGATTACACGTTTGACATTGCCGTTTCTGTAACAATGGAAAGAGCTAAGGTGGAAAATAGTAAGGATTGAGCTATTGAAGAGAATCACGCATCGTTACGGAGCAATCTGCCCCGTACGAGATGTCGTCGTGCGGATAACAAGAATGTAATAAACATATCAAGGACAAAATCGCTCTGAAATCGGAATCGGAGTTGGAGCGACTTTGTCTTTGATATGTTTATTACATCTTTATTATGCGCGACATCTTGTTCCAGATCGTTCCGTAATGGTGCGTTATCTTCTTCGATAGCACTATTCTTACTATAATATTTCCCGCAGCTTTCAACCCCACCTTTTTCCATCGTTACTTACGGATGCGGCAATATTGAACATGTAATCCGTGCGATATTCAAGTCTTACTTTGTCCGAATGACAAAGTACTTGTCGGGAGTGCCGTTTAAAACATCGTGCAATTTTTATTCGCGTTGCGAATGCATATGTATGCTTTGAGGGACTGCAAGGAGAATTGAGAGAAAAAAGCATCGAGCACCGACGAAGCAACTTTAGGATAAGTAATAATTTTTTTGTTATCTGTTATTTGCAAAATATTGCATGTAAAATATTGTGTGATTTAACGCACACAGAAACTTTGATATACATTGAATCAATAAAAGATTTGCAATTTTTAATATTTATGGTTATTAGATTTGTTAACATATTTATTATTATTTTTTAAATTATAGGTTTTTGATGAATATATAATTCTTTTGTTAGATATTTGCATAAAAGATAAATAAAAGTTTAATGTGCGTAATAATTATTTCTCAAATAATTATTTTAAGTGCTGCTATAATTTAAATGTATTTTGTATGTTACAGAACAATTCTGATGCTGCGTATCGTGCATTGATAATTATTTTGATGATTATTATTATTGATTATTGATGATTATTTCATTTTAATATTATTCAGAGAATAGATTTGCATATAATATAAAATATATAAGGTATTTCACAGACTAATCGTTTCATCCGTTAATAGCAGAGATTTCTTTTCTGAAGTTTCTTATATGGTAAGAATATAAAAATTAATATGAAATATGCCTAAGCGCGTAAATTTTTGACAATCTAATTGTCTCAATTTTAAACATTTCCCATTTAAAAATGATTTTAACCTCTATATTTTGTATAAAGATTTTTGTTTTCAAAAGACCTCAGGAATTTGATATTAACGGGTGATACAGTTGATCTGGAACATTTTGTATATTTGATTTGTTATGTAATTAATATTTAATTTTTTTTTGCATAGAATTTTTATATTTGAATTGATATCAAGAATTTTTCTTACCCGTGTCTGTCGATCAGTGGAACACTTCTACCAGAATAAGGATCTCTTGCGACGACGTTGGTAGCAAATATATCTCTTACGTAATTGTGACTGTAAAGAGTAGCGATTACGGTTATTAAAATCTTAACACAATAACCACAACATTTTTAACGAAACTTTAAGTCAAATGTGCAAAAATTAATTTTAAAGTCGACAAATCGAATACAAATGTGAAAAATATGTTACAACTTAAATTATACTTATTTTTATTGTATTTTAGCTCTGATTTGATCTAATTGATTATTTTGCACAAAATGTACGAATGAAAATTACCCATCCTGAGCCACGAGTCTGAAAGTGAGCGGATCACCGACTGCGATGGTAGTTGTAGGTCTATTCTGATAGAGGATCTGCAAAAGTACTTTGGAGCTCAGAGTGTTTTCCGCTGGGAGATATTCGATGGGGATAGGTGACCCTGATCTGCACAGCGCATATACGAGTACCATTAGTGAAATTGGAATTATTTGAAATCATTGGATGGTGTGGGAAGATACATGTATAAGTTAATGCTGATTAGTTTGCGTTTTTTGAATCTTAATTTTTTTAAAGTTAACCAGAAGTTATATTTTTAATTTAAAAAGCGATGCAATTATCAACCGTGTGATAATTAGTAGCAGAAAGGCAAAAGATATTGATTTTAATTGTGATTATTAATTTGTTAGACGACGGCTAGTAAAAATTTAGCCTTTATTATATATGATACACTACGTATAAAAAATAGACATCGTATAAAAGAAATAGAATGAGCATGACGTTCTCGAATGATATTTGAGACTAAGTGAGTGATAAAAGAAATTGCACGAACGTGTTTGCACCCATGTACGGATATATTCGCGTCCATAAAGCGGGATATGTTTTATTTTGATCGTGTTGCGCTCTAAACATCGCATAAGTCCACATGACGATAAAAAGTTACTAACCAAGAAAAGGCCAAAGTAATTTTGTCGTAATACTTACTCAACAATTAAAGAGACGAAGAAATTCTTAGCTCGCGTGAAACGAAATTTTGCCAGAAAGAAATTTGGTAAAAAATTAGATTATAATGTAGAAAATTGTAAAATTATTAAGAACGTAGAATTGTATGACAAAGATTTTTTTAATGTGATTTTATTATTTGGAGAAATTCAACGTGTGTATTCTCGGAGGATGGCACTTTAACGCGTTAAAGATCGTACTCTCGGTGCAAGACACGACTTCTCGATCGATATGACCTGGCATACCCGGCACCGATGTAGTCGGATGTGACGACAGCTTCTCCGGGTCCTCGAAACAGGCATGTCAAGTTGAATCGCTTGTCTCGCTCGGTTTGCACGTAGTCCGAAAATTGCACCACCACGATGTTTGTCATCGTATCGCCGTACTGCAACCATTCGCGGGTAGAATATTAAATTTATTACACTTGTCGTTATTTACTATACAAAAATAGCAACTCGAAGAAGAACCGTTGAAAAATCTATTTAAAAAACTATTTGAAAATCCAAAAGAAGTTTGTTAGAAACGGCTCAAAGTGCGCAGTGTTGAAACTAAAGTCATCACAAAATAATTTTGAACGTCGATCAACTTATGAAAACTTGAAACTTTCCTTCAAGCGGTGTCGAGTGCATCCGTGAAAGTTTTTGGAGTGAATTAAACTCAAGATTACTCGTGGATCGAGCTATTAAGCGGAAATTGGCGCTCTTACTCGCTGTGTGCCACACTCGGGGTATCCCTGAGGTCCGCTGATGCGAAGTACGTTGACGGTGCCGCCGTTTCCACGGAAGAAGCACCGATCGTAGTATCCGTACGTGTAAATTCGCCCGATAAATCCCTCCGGCGTTCGCAGAGTAAATTCCATCCCGTCCTCGCTACAGACTTGACTCACTGCAAGCGTAACAAAGTGCTATTCGTCGGCGTCCACAGCGTGAGCGCAGTTTCCGGAAGACGTAGGTAGGTCCAAGAGTGGAGTCGCGCGATGCGTCAGTGTGAAGTTAATTAAACCGAAATTGGTGGCTGGTGAGGAATTAATAGCAGGCGGAAATGGGAATTCTGAGTAATTATTCAACGGCACTTCGGTAATTAATTAATCTTCGTGATTAAGTGGCAATTGAATATTAGCAAGCAAAAGTCTGCAGAGCAAATATATAAATTTGAAAATTGCGTTAAAAGGTAGATCGACACGATTAATTATATTTTTGTTTGTATCATTCTTGAGACTGGCAGAGAAAATCGCTGTGTCATAAAGATGCCACATGCACCGTTGCTCTTCAAAACGTAGATTGTGCTACTGTGTAGGTATTTTGTGTTCGATGCGCACACGTGCGAAATATTTTGTTGTGAAGAAAGAGAAGTATAGATATCAGATTTATTTCATAAAGGTGAGGTCGTGTAACAATGGTGCAAAATTGTATTTACAATAAGTATAGCGAGCAATACGTGAACAATAAAGTACAAAAGATCAAGAACAAAGTACTTATTGCGCATGCTAGAAGTACAGAAGTACAGAAGTAAGTGTAGAAATCACAATACAATGTGAACACATTAATTGTGCAAGAATTCATTCGAATCAATACGCAAATTCTTAAAAAAAAAAATTATAAATTATCTTTAATCTTTCTTGCACATTATAACTTGATGAAAAAATTAGACGAGTTTTAGGAAGGTAAATTTAAAAATTTGGAAACTTTATTTGCGTTTCGTGTTTGAAATTCTTTTCTACTTTGATGCGTTCGAATAGATTTGACGGGCTTCCCAGCTCTCGTATCGGCGCCGCACGGACGTACACAGGCCGCTTACCGTCCAGACATTCCCCGTCCGCGCCTTGGCGACCGTTGTTCCTCTCGTAGAAGTCGTAATCGGAGCTCGAGTCGTAATAAACCGGACTGCCCATCTCCATGTCCCTGGAGTCCCGATCGCTGAGTTCGCAGTTGTCCCTCTCGGCCCCGTAAGGCGCGGCGTATGGCCGGTAATTGAAGGATCTGTAAATGACGTCGGGAATTTGCGAGCATTGCCCGATCGATCGCGCAAACAAACGCGCCGGATCAGATCATTCCTGATTCAATTTCAAGCTTCCCGAGTCTCAAACATCGCCCCGAATCAAGTGTCAGAATTTCCCTCGCTCTAATTACACCGCTTTCAAAAAGTGCTTCTACTCTTATATTTCTTGCACCATTTTTCACAATGCACAATTCTTCCGTCTTATATTTTGAAATTGATAAAAAATCGAGTGCAATCTAAAAAAAAAAAGTTATTTTTATCCACTTTAATCATTGTCATTTTCAAAATAAAGCACTTTTCATCCAATTATATGCTAATTTGAATCGGTTATTCCGTTATTCCATTAAAGTGATCTAATTGGAAGTATTCATTTTCCCTTTTTCTAATTACTTAATTAAAATCACAAAGAAAATCTCATCTACGTATACCAAGCGTATCTCTCGAGTCAAATGCTTGTCTAAAATTAGCACACTCAGCGCGCGACTTCTCGACGTTAATTTAAATTATCCTCTTCCTTATTCGCCCATTATCTCGACAAGCCCGGCCATTATCGTTACCTGCAAACGAAGTCTCTGGCGTCAGAACATTCTCTCTCGCACTGCGCCAACGACGAGGCGGTGGTGAGCCGTCTGACGAATGGCTTCCGTACTCTGGTGTGAGGTCCGACCTGTCTAAAATTGTCTTGCTCGTCGCATCTGGATAATAACGGGGGTCTGCCTATGATTGGTCCGCCGGCGGTACCGAACGGACGGGAGTTGTAGACACCACCTTCACCTATGTATCCGCCACCCACGACGCCGCCGCCGCCGCCGCCGCCGCCGCCGCCGCCGTCACTGCCGTATCCTCCGTATCCTCCGTATCCTCCGACGGGCCGCACCGAGCCGTAAGGCCCATTGCCATAGCCGTGAGGTCGCGGTTCGGGATGGCTCGGGGGACCGCGAACGTCGTCCACGAATCCGTGAGAATACAATCCATGCATTGGCGGATACCTGCTGTTTGTTAAATCAGACGGTGATCTTCTTGAAAAGTTTCTATGAAGTTGTGAGTTTTCGAGATAAAAGTGATATTTAGGAAAAGTGAAAGGACTGATGAGAGAATGTTGAAAAATTAATACGGGAACTAATTTATAAGACAAAATTAATCGATTGAGTATTTATTAGTTAGAAAAACCTAGAAGATACTTGAATAATATTCTCATGAAATGTTATTGGGATTCGGAAAATTTTTATTGAAAATAAATCTTTTGATTTGACTTTCGTGTTATGATTGGATGAATAGTGTTTTATTTCTTTTCAGTGCATTTTCAAATTTAGTAAATTATTTAGTAAATTTTCAAAATTACTAAATTTGCTTAATACTAGAAGTGCCTCTTAATCTTTTCCTTCAAGAACAAGAAATATTAAGAGCAATAAATAGATTTAAATTTACATGTAAGACATGCTTTAATTTTCCTTGAAAACTTGCTCGAAAATGCTTGAAAAATGATGAAATTTTCAGGGTATTAGTCTAATAATAAGATTAAGTAAACACTTTATAAAAGTGACTTTATAAAAGCTTTAATATAGAAAATCAAAACAAAAAGTAGAAAAGTCTCGGAGTTAAAAACTCAATTTCTAAAGATTGAAAGGTTTATTCAAAGAATAAATTAATATCTGAGGAAGATTATATCATAATAATATGCAAAAAGAGAAAATGTTTGAAATATTTGTCGATTTCAAATAAATCAGCGCTCGGAATTAGTTGCACATTTCGGGCCGATTCCCTGCCGCTGGCGGCCAAGC